GTGTGGTGTGTGTGTGGTGTGTGTGTGTGTTGTGTGGTGTGTGTGTGTGTGTGTGTGTGTGTGGTGTGTGTGTGTGTGTGTGTGTGGTGTGTGTGTGGTGTATGTGTTTGGTGTGGGGGGATGTGGGGGGGTGTAGGGGGAGGCAGAGAGGCTCTCACTATGTAGTCCTCATAACTGGCCTGGAACTCGCTCTGTAGACTAGGCTGGCCTTGAACTGGAAGAGACCCACACGCTTCTGCCTCTCAAGTGCTGGGATTGAAGGTGTGCGCCCCATCCTCACTGAATTCTAGATGCCCTGAAAATGAAACATAGTGATTTATTTCTTACAACAGGAGATAGCGGACCGGAAGATAGAAGAACTAACCTCACACAGCCGCATCACCAGCAGGGACAGTGTCAGGCAGACGGGTTCCTTCTAGCTGTGTAACCTTGCATATGGCACTCAAACTTTTGATTTTGCAAAATCATAACAATAATTTGGGGCTTGGGGTTTTTTGACAATTTTTTTCTTTTCTTTCTTTCTTTCTTTCTTTCTTTCTTTCTTTCTTTCTTTCTTTCTTTCTTTCTTTCTTTCTTTCCTTCCTTCCTTCCTCCCTCCCTCCCTCCCTCCCTCCCTCCCTCCCTCCCTCCCTCCCTCCCTTCCTTCCTTCCTTCCTTCCTTCCTTCCTTCCTTCCTTCCTTCCTTCCTTCCTCTTCCTTCTTTTTTTCTGAGACAGGGTTTTTCTGGCCATCCTGGAACTCATTATGTAGACCAGGCTGGCTTCAATCTCAGAGGTGCTGCCTACCTCTGCCTCCCGAACGTTGGGTCAAGATGTGCACCCCCCCACCCCAGCTGAGACAAATTCTTGCAGTGAATCCCAGGCTGGCCTTGCACTTGGAATTTTTCTGTCTCAGCCCTTTAGGTGCTGGGGTTATGGGAATTCCTTATACTTAATGTAAAATAATAATAATAATTTTTAAAGATGGAGGAGAAGATAACCTAGCATTGGAAGACTGAGGTGCCAGAAGATTGAGAAAGAAAATGGGTGACTTTATTTATTTAAATGCTCAGCCCTGACAACACACATGGAAGTGACATTATACAGACTGAGCAGGTTATATTTAAGAATGTATATTATATATGCATGTAATCAAACGTTCTTTAAAAAGCCATGAATTTGAAAGAGATCAAGTAGGGGTATATGAGGGGATTTGGAGGGAGGAAATGGGAGGGAGAAATGTTATAATTATAATCTCAAAACTAAAAAGGAAAAAAGCTAGAATTAAATGACTGATACATATGCTCATATACATTTTTGCAAAAACGTTGACACGATAAAGGGCCACAAAGCAATAATAACTGAGAAGATAGAGTATGGCTATGCCCGTTTCAAAAGTAACAAAAGCCAGGGTCCAACAGATGGAATTGGCTTGCAGAAGATAATCCAGGCAGGTCAGGGCTGCCCCTGCGTCCCTGTTGGCGAAGCCCCTCTGGAACATGGTACCTTCTGACTTCCTGTATAGATCTGGCCCTAGAGAGATGTCCGGAGACCTGAT